AGACGGGGTTTCACTATGTTGGCCAGGTTGGTCTCGAACCTCTGACCTCAAGTGATACACCCGCCTCAGTCTCTCCAAGTGCTGGGATTACAGGCATGAGTTACGGCACCTGGCCTAGCTGTAGATTTTTGACTTTGCTGAAAATTATACTCAAACTTTAATTGGGTGGGCTGCAGGATTACAACATAAATGGAATTCACACATTTAGAATCTCAAGCAGTGTGTTTGGCTGTGTACTTTGTGTGGCTGAGAAATGACCAAGAGCACAGAGGTGCACGGGCCCCTGGGTAGTGGATGATCAGGGATGGAGAGAGCAGATGTGGATGTTTGGTGAGGAGGTCTGGGAGGAAGTACTGGATACCTCTCAGGATGGGTGTGAAGACACTGGTGTCTTGGCCGAGCATGGTGGCTCACGCCTGTAATCCCAGCACTTTGCGAGACTGAGGTGGGTGGATCACGAGGTCAGGAGTTTGAGACCATCCTGGCCAACATGGTAAAACCCCGTGTCTACTAAAAATACAAAAAATAGCCGGGCATGGTGTGGGCGACTGTAATCCCAGCTACTCAGGAGGCTGAGGCAGGAGAATTGCTTGAACCCAGAAGGCAGAGGTTGCACTGAGTTGATTTCATGCCACTGCACTCCAGCCTGGGCAACAGAGCAAGACTTTGTCTCGAAAAAAAACCAAAACACACACACACACACACACACACACACACACACACACACACACAGGCATCTCATGTGAATGCCCACTCAAAGACATCTACTGCAGCAGCGACTCTATTAATTGAGTGGACAAGATAGCACATTCTGCAGACAACAGTTAGCCTTTCCCGCAACTGTGCCATTGTGTGCTCAATGAGCTTATTTACACAGTGGTCATGGTGGCAGGTGTGATGGCTCTGTATAGGCTTAGGAACGTGGGCTTCCCCTTACCAAAGTGACCTGGCAGAAGAGACCAACACTAAAGCTCTGTTATGGCACCATTCCCTAGGGGAGGGCAGAGGAGCTGGGAACCAGTGTTAAAAACCTATAAATGTGGCCAGGCACAGTGGCTCATGCCATTAATCTCAGCACTTTGGGAGGCTGAGGTGAGCAGATTGCATAAACTCAGGAGCTCGAGACCAGCCTGGGCAATACGGTGAAATCCCATCTACAAAACATTCAAACATTAGCCAGGTGTGGTGGTGTATACCTGTAGTCTCAGCTACTTGGGAGGCTGAGGTGGGAGGATGGCTTGAGCCCGTGAGGTAGAGGCTGCAGTGAGCCAACATTACACCACTGCACTCCAGCCTGGGCAACAGAGGGAGACCTTGTCTCAAAAAAAAAAAAAAGAAAGAAAGAAAGAAAGAAAAAGGAAAAAAGCACAACCTATAACTACTTGGATATGTAAAAGAACAAAATAGAACTTATAGACTTAAAAAAAAATAAAACAAAATGAAAAACTCCTGAAACAGGTTTATCAATAGCCTAAGAGATAATTAGTGACTAGAAGAAAGATCTGAAGAATGATCTGGAACATGGAACATAAAGATGACAGATTAAGATGTGATAGAGAGGTTAATAGACATGGAGAAGAGTATGAGACTTCTGTTTCTTCCACAATCCACAGTAATAAATGTATTTTACTTGTTACTCACTCCATAGATATGTGTATAAGTGTATTAATAAATACAACTGAAACAAAAGTTTCATGAAATAATACAATACACTCCAATATATTCTATTCTCGTTCTTTCTCAACACTGGTAACAATCTACTACATTGCTTTTATAAGCCACGGTTGGAAAACAACCTACAGTTTGAAAAATATTAGTTGAATAACTACTAATCACACTACAAGATGTAAAGAGTGAGAGAATAAGGTTGAGATAACATTCATTTTTATTTTTTCTTTCTTTGAGATAGGACCTCACTCTGTTACCCCAGGCTGGAGTGCAGTGGTATAATGGTTCACTGCAGCCTCAACCTCCTGGGCTCAAGTGCTCCTCCCACCTCAGCCTCCTGAGTAACTGGGACTACAGGCATGCACCACCAGGCGTGGCTAGTTTTTTTTTTGTATTTTTTGTAGAGATGGGGTTTCACCATGTTGCCCAAGCTGGTCTTGAACTGGATTCAAGCAATCTGCCTGCCTTGGCCTCCTAAATTGCTGGGACTACAGGCGTGAGCCGCTGTGTCCATCCAAGATAACATTTAAAAGAGATATTCTCACATATGATACAACATGGATGAACTTTGGGGACTTTATGCTAGGTGAAATAAGCCAGTCACAAAAGGATAAATATTGCATGATTCTGCTTACAAGAAGTACCTAGACTAGTCAAATTCATAGAGGCAGGATGTGGAATGGTGGTTGCCAGGGGCTTAGGAGACGGAGCATGGGGAATGACTGTTTAAGGGGTACAGAGTTCTAGTTTTGCAAGATGAAGAGAGTTCTAGAGATGGATGATGGTGAGGTTGCACAACAATAGGAATGTTAATACCACTGTATGCTTAAAAAAGATAGTACATTTTATGTTATGTGTATCTTACCACAATAAAAAAGTAAAATTAAATTAAAAAAAAAAAAGTATTGTCTGAGAGTTTTCAAGAATATTGAAAGACACCAATCATCAAATTCAGAAGCCCAAAGAATTCAAGGCAGAATAAATAAAAAGATACAGCATGAGCTGGGCTTTGTGGCTCACGCCTGTAATCCCAACACTTTGGGAGGTCGAGGTGAGTGGATTACCTGAGGTCAGGAGTTTGAGACCATCCTAGCCAACACGGAGAAGCTCTGTCTCTACTAAAAACACAAAAATTAGCTGGGCGTGGTGGTGGGTGCCTGTAATCCCAGAGACTCGGGAGGCTGAGGCAGGAGAATCGCTTGAACATGGGAGGCAGAAGTTGCAGTGAGCTGAGATGGCATCACTACACTCCAGACTGGGGGACAGAGTGAGACTCCGTCTCAAAAAAAAAAAAAAAAAAAAAAAGATACAGCAAGGTAAAACTGTAGAACATGAGAAGAGAGGGAAAAGACCAACAACCTATGAGGGAACGATGTAAGATTGTCACTGGACTCCTGAGGAGCAATGAGGGGGAGCAGGCAAACAGTGGATGGCAATCAACTGTGCTGAGAGAGGACAGCTGTCATTCAAGCAAGGAAGCCAAAACATCTTTCAAGAACAAGGACAAGGCCAGGCACAATGGCTCATGCTGTAATCGTAGCACTTTGGAGGCTGAGGCTGGAGGATCACTTGAGCCCAGGAGTTTGAGACCAGCCCGGGCAACATAGTGAGATTTTACAGAAAATAAAAAAAATTAGCCTGGCGTGGAGGTGCATGCTTTTAGTCTCAGGTACATGGGAGTCTGAGGTGGGAGGACTGCTTCAGCCTGGGAGATACAGGCTACAGTGAGCCGTGATCATGCCACTGCACTCCAGCATGGGCAACAGAGCAAGACCTTATCTCCAAAAATAAATAAATAAAAAACAACAAAAGACAAAAAATGAATGCATTTGCAGACGAACAGAAACTGAGAGGGTCTGCACCAACAAACCTACAAAAAAGTAAAATTTAAAGGATTTACTTCAGGCAAAAGGAGAGTGATCCTGTTCATGAAAGCTGAGATGCAAGAAGATGAATAAAAATGGTAATTGTGTGGCTGAATCTAAACTAATGTTGACTGTATAAAACAATTTAATAATGTCTCCTGGGGTTAAAATGGCAAAGGTTAAACTTAACATACACTACATTAAGGTGTCTAATTTAGAGGATGGGTGATTAAAGTACTCTGAAGTCTTCATATTTTAAGGAAACAGGGTAAAGACATTTTTACAAATATTTAAACATATTGGACTTTCACAAGGTAAGCATGCATGCTCAAAATTTTCAAGTAACCACTAAAACTTAGAAATAGAGTATGTAGGTGAAGAAAATAAGAATGAGAATAAAAATAAACCCTAAAGAAGAAAGGGGAAAAAAAAGAAAAACAAAACAGGCAGGACAAATAGAAATAACAAAATACGATGGTAGAAATAATTCCAGATATATTAGTAAATATAATAAATGTAAATGGACTAAATGCTCCAGTTAAAATACAAAGATTATTCTTCCAAGAAACCTGTTTATCATGAAAAATTTCAAGTATACAGAAAAGTGGGAGAAACAGTACAAGAAAACCATATACCTGCGATGTAAAGTCAGCCGTTGTTAGCAATTTGCCATGTTTGTTTCACCTATATTGGTACGTATAGGAGACTATTAAGAACACCTATTTTACTTTCACAGTAAACATAATATAATGAAATACAATTTAAACGGTAATCATGATGTAGAGTATCCATTTTTGAGGTCAAGCAGATCTGGATTCTCCAGCAATTTTTAATTATTTAACTTACTTGTGTGGTTATTTATTCAAAAGATGTCTCTTCACTAGGCTATAGCAAAAGAATTGGAATCAGGTTAGCTGTTCTGATCATTGTATTTCTAAATATTTATTGCATAAACAAATCGAATTTACTAGTAAAAATTCAGCACAGTGCCAGTTGCATAATAAACATTTAATGTAGAGTAGCTTGTATTTATTGTAGCTGCTGTTGTCATTGGAAGCATTCAGCAGAGTGATACGAAATAAGCAGTAATTGGTAGTTTAGTATATTTATAATTATTATTTACAAGACGTCACAGTGCTTAGCCCATATCACTCACCCATAAACATCATGTTTATACTAAGTACTTTCACTATTATTCAAAGTCTCTAAGAGTGCCTGGTACTACATAAGCAAGAGAAAAGTGGAAGTTTATTCTAATTGTTGTTACTGAATAAAGCATTTAACACGAGGCTGGCCCCCAGCGGACCCTTAATAGTTTTTGCGGCTGCAGTCGTAGCCGCACTACAAACCCCGCCTCCTGAGCAGCGCGAAGCCCCGCCCCTTGCTGCCCTGTAGTTCCGCCCCCGTGGCTTGTACCGCGCCTGCGCACTGTCCCGGGCGGGGGGGCTCCACGCGCGCAGCTTTAGTCCCCGCCCCTGGAGCTGGCGGCGCAGGGCGCAGCTTCCCGCCGCCCGAGCGGGCCAGCCTGCTGCGTGCGTGCGTGTGTACGCTTGTGCGTGCGTGCGTGCGTGCGTGCGTGCCGTCAGCTCGCCGGGCACCGCGGCCTCGCCCTCGCCCTCCGCCCCTGAGCCTGCACCGCGTAGAACGACCCCCCCCCAGCGCGCGCACCCCGTCGAAGACCCTCACCCGTGCCCCGACTGGTCCCCGCTTTTTTGTAAAACTTGAAGCGGGCGCGGCATTAACGCTTCCCGCCCCGGTGACCTCTCAGGGGTCTCCCCGCCAAAGGTGCTCCGCCGCTGAGGAACATGGCGAAGGTGGAGCAGGTCCTGAGCCTCGAGCCGCAGCACGAGCTCAAATTCCGAGGTAAGCCCCAGAGGCCACCACCTTCCTGCTTGCGGCCCCCGCCCCAATGCTGGAGGGACGGAGTCCGGCGCGGCGGGTGACGTCGGCCCTCGTCCCCACCCCGACGGCGCTGTCGCGGGGGCCGGCGAGGCCGGGCCGGGCCTTGGCGCTCAGCGCGCGCCCCAGAAATGCGCGGAGCGGCCGGGACTCGAGAGGGCTGGTGCAGGAGCTAGGGCCTGTGCCTCCGCCCCGACCCCCAGCCTCCTGGGACTTGCCTTCGAGGCACTTGTCACTTTGCCTTGTAACTTAGTGACCAGTTTGTGATCACTTTAGTGTGAACCTCCGCCGCTGCTGTTGCCTGGAAGGTTCTTCCCCTGCTCTGTGATGACAGTGTTGACCTCAGGGTTTAGTTGAGGTATCACCTGCCCAGAGAGGCCCACTGTGGCCACCCAGCCCACCGTGCACACCTGCTCTCCTGCTGTCCCCATTCTGTCACTGTTTCGTGGTCAGCACCGCACTTTTCGTACCCAAAATCACTGTTTCAACACTAGAGAGGAAACTGCATGAGGACAGGCTCTTGTCAGTTCGCTGCTGTGTACCCAGGACACATTAGACGCCTAGTAAATACCTGTTGAACCAACAAATGAACCTCCTCAGGCCTTCTGATGGGATTGGTCCCGTTTTCCGTTCACTGCCTCCCTCATGGTGCCTCCTGGATGCAGCTGAGGGAGGCTGCCAAGGTGCTGGGATCCTTTTGCTCCGCAGAGCTGCCTGGAGCAACACCTGCGGTGGTGGGAAACCATGACCCTGGTTTCTCCCAGACACTATTATCTCTGTAATTTGTGCCTTTATGTTTTCTATGTTGTTCTTTTTTTTTTCTTTTTCCTACCTTCACCAGGGCCACGAGGTAAAAGGTCTGACATGCTCATTCCTTCTTTTTGCTTGTATCCAGTGATGTGGAAGGCACTAGGGAGGTGATGGATGAACAAGACAGACAAGGCCTCTGCTCTCAGAGAGCTTAGCTTCCGTCGAGGACAGACAAACCAGCACACAACATCGTTACAGATACGTGGAAGGCACTGGGGAGGTGATGGATGAACAAGACAGACAAGGCCTCTGTTCTCATGGAGCTTACCTTCCGACGAGGACAGACAAACCAGCACACATCATCTTTGCAGATAGTGCTAAGTGCTGTGTAGGAAATGGAACAATTTGACTCCGTGGAAGTGTACTGTAGATTGGAAGGTCAGGTCTCCACTATATCCCTAGCACCAGGCTCACAGTAGATGTTCAGCTGGTATTAATGAATGGCCAGAGGCTCTCCAGTTTATATGTCCTATTTGGAAGTAGTGTAGGGTAACTTACGCAAAGTTACCCAGTTGGCAAGTGGTACATTTGAACCCAGACTTCAGAGTTCACGCTGTTAACCGTTATGCTGTCTGATCGCTGGGAAATACTCCAGAACGGTGGCTGTCACTTTGCCTTCCAAGTTAACAATGTGAAGTAACTCTGAATTTACAGAGAACCAAAGGCTTTCCAATTAAAATGAAAAACCAAAAAAACCCCACCAAACCTACCGGGGATAGAAATTCCAGGATAGTAATTGAGGTTTCATGATGCTCTCATGGCTTTCTGGGAACGCCAGATTGGAAAAGGAGGCCAGGTGGCTAAAGTGGTGAGCCATGGTTTCCACTTGAGTTGTCTGAAGTTCTTTTTCTGTCTGGGAGGCCTGGCTTGGCTTCTCCTGAGAATTGGTGGGTTCATTCGGTTAGTCCACAAACATTTACTGAGTACCTGATCTGTGTGTCAGATACCCGGAGAAGCCAAGTACAGTCATATCAGCTGTACTCTCCCATTTTCCCTCAACCTCCTCCCAGTACTTTAGGGAAGGGGGCAGATGAGAATAACAGCCAGTACAGGACAATGATGTAGGGTAGTTCAGAGTGCTCCGGGAGCATTGAGGTGGTCAACTCCTGAAGGAGGTGTCATTTGAGCTCAGTTATAAAGGTTGAGTAGAAGAAGGCTCAAAGAAGGAAAGGGTGAGAACATTTCAGACAGAGGAAATTGCATGCACAGAGGCACAAACACTGAGATGACTGGGCTCCTTTGGGATGCCCAGTAGTTCTTTTTTTTTTTTTTTTGAGATGCAGGTCTTACTCTGTCACCCAGGCTAGAGTGCAGAGACGCGCTGTCTCACTGCAACCCCCGCCTCCCAAGTTCAAGTGATTCTCCTGCCTCAGCCTCTTGAGTAGCTGGGGTTATATACAGGCGTGTGCCTCTACGCCTGGCTAAAAATGTATTTTCAGTAGAGACAGGGTTTCACCATGTTGGCCAGGCTGGTGTCAAACTCCAGACCTCAAGTGATCTGCCCTCCTTGACCTCTCAAAGTGGTGGGATTACAGGCGTGAGCCACTGTGCCCAGCCACCACTAGTAGTTGTGAACGACAGCAACAAAGAAAATTTGTTGTGGTTGCCCGGCAAGATGGCAGACAAGGCTGGTGAGTAGACAAGAGTCAGACCTCAGTCCCTTTATGCATAGATGCAGCCAGTGTCCAAGTTAAAATTGTGTTGCTTCTCCTTGAGCAGTCCTTCCTTGCATTAACTTTCTGAAAACCCCCAAATCCCAGTACAAACTCTGTTGTCTAATAGGATGTTATGGAAAGAGGCACTCATTTGAGAAAATTCAAGATTTTGTTCAGTTGTTTTACTGAAAGATGTGTGACCTTAGGCCACTTCACTCCTCAAAGCCTGGGGTCATTCTTTGGTCAAGGGGGATGATGCTCATGTCCACCTTGCCTCTTGTAGAAAGTGTTTAAAAGGAATAACATGACTGTTAGCGGCTTTGTAAGTGCATAGTACTATACAGAGATTAGACAACCACTTAACCACTTAAGTGGTTTCATCACTTCTGTACCTGAAAGATGTGGCAGAGAAGAGGGATCATTCTGGCCCTGAATTGGCCAAAGTAATAATGCCAAAGTCACTGGATATTTTTGCTGGGGAAGTGGTCTAAGAGAAATGGTACCAAATTGTTGAAGGCCTCTGGCTTATAACTTTAGAAGAGACATCTGTGTGTGTTGTTAAATGACGTCATGAGTTGTGTTGTTTGTTTTAAACTGAATGCTAAGACAGTACAATTAGTAGAGACTCAATACCCTGACTTACTTAGAGATAAATTCATTTCAGGATGAGAACTGGCACATTTAACTGGTTTCTTCCAGGTTACTCAGGGTGATGACTCTGATTTCTGGTGGTTCACCTAGATGAACCTCTGAGCTAACTACTTAAGAAGGTAATAACTAAAATGCCCATTCAAAGGAAAAATTATCTTTTAAATGCAGCCTAAGTTGATCATATGGGATTGTATATTGTCAGACTCTTTAATCTTGGGAATTTTGTGTGGTATATTAAATTTAAGGATGTTACAGAAGAAAAAGAATGCAAATTTATATGACCTTATGCAGTTGTTTTTTTTTTTTTTTTTTTTTTTTTAGTAGAGACGGGGTTTCACCATGTTAGCCAGGATGGTCTCGATCTCCTGACCTCGTGATCCGCCCATCTCGGCCTCCCAAAGTGCTGGGATTACAGGCTTGAGCCACCGCACCCGGCCTACCTTATGCAGTTTTATGGGAAGTACTGTGCTGCATCATAAATATGGAAAGGACAAAGCCTGGTGGCTTCCTGAAAGAAGCATGACACAGGAGGATTTGCCTAGACTTAAGGTTGATTTTCATGAGATATTTTTAGTAAGTGAACATTAAGCTCTTTCAGACTAGGGATATCTTTCTGAGAGAGTAAAAGTAAATGTTTTTGTTTTTTAGCAGGGTCTTGCTCTGTCACCCAGGCTGGGGGGCAGTAGTGCCATCATAGCTCACTGTAGCCTCAAACTCCTGGGCTTAAGAGATCCTCCTGCTTCAACCTCCCTAGTAGCTAGGACTACAGGTGCCACCATTCCTGGCTAATTTTTGGATTTTTTTTTTTTTTTTTTTGAGACGGAGCTCACTACAAGCTCCGCCTCCTGGGTTTACGCCCTTCTCCTGCCTCAGCCTCCCAAATAGCTGGGACTACAGGCGCCCGCCACCTCGCCTTGCTAGTTATTTTTCTATTTTTTAGTAGAGACGGGGTTTCACCGGGTTAGCCAGGATGGTCTCCATCTCCTGACCTCGTGATCCGCCCATCTCGGCCTCCCAAAGTGCTGGGATTACAGGCTTGAACCACCGCGCCCGGCCTAATTTTTGGGTTTTTTTATAAAGGTAGAGTCTTGCCATGTTGCCCAGGCTGGTGTTGAATTCCTGGCCTCAAGCAGTCCTCCCGCCTTGGCCTCCCAAAGTGCTGGGATTACAGGCATGAGCCACTGCACCCAGCCTAAGTGTGTGTTTTCTTTTATATTTCTTTTTGTCTTTTTCACTAAGTCATAGGAGTTTTTTTAAAATTGTCACTCTTTCTGTTGATCTCAGTTCTTCCAAGGCCTAAATGTTTCCTTGCCATCTCCTCACTCTGAGATCCCACTTGTTGTCCAGCTTAAAGAGAGCTTTCCGAATGAGTCACTTTCAAGGCATTATGTAGCGCTCTCCTGTCATTCTCTTCTCCCTCCCCTTCCATGAGAGTCCGTCTGTGGTAAATAGTATGTCTTATATATTTTTTGGTCATTGTTCAAGACTCTAGATCATTCTTTATACCCTAGCCCATTCCCCTAGCAATGATATTGTCACATGGAAGTGGTCTGTTCAACATCCATACTCACTAGGTTAAGGTTTTTTTTTTTTTGAGACAGAGTTTTGCTCTTGTTGCTCAAGCTGGAGTGCAATGGCGTGATGATCTTGGCTCACCGCAGCCTCCGCCTCCTGGGTTCAAGCACTTCTGCCCCAGCCTCATGAGTAGCTGGGATTACAGGCACGCACCACCACGCCCGGCTAATTTTGTACTTTTAGTAGAGACAGGGTTTCTCTGTGTTGGTCAGGTTGGTCTCGAACTCCTGGCCTCAGGTGATCTGCCCGCCTCGGCCTCCCAAAGTGCTGGGA